AGCGAGATCGAACCTGCAGCCTTCTCTGAATGATAATTGCCTCTTTATAGCAAATTTATGTGAAATTAAATGGGCCTACTTACATGATTGTGGGAAAATTTAGCCATCAATCTTAACGAAAATAGAGTGAACACATCACATTTATATAATTTATGTAGTGTTTCATAGCTTGGGCTTATAGACAACAGCTCTGTCTATGAAGGGCGTCTGCAAACAACATGACAGCACTGGTGAGCTCAGTTACTACGTTGAATTAACTCATTCTGACCGTACTACTTCGGACAATTAGTAACAAATTTTCAAGATCTTAGCACCAGAAACTCTGAATCCGAAACACATAATGTCTCTTCAAACAGCAAATCTTTGATCCTTTGGCGCGTGAGTGTGCATTTGATGAAATGTCTAACATGTTATTGCATCATTTCTTCTTCATGTTAGCTTTTTCACGACTTTGCCCGTTCCACTCTGCGTTTTTCTTCAGTGCCGCAAGACCAGTCACCAGCCCAACCGAGGCCTCAGTGGGGACCTCAGCTCATCCGACCGTCTTTATTTCCCACACACAAGCTCGCCGTATTCCAGTCTCATCCTCTGCAGTCGTCGACTCAGCTGCTCGGCCAAATGATAGTGCCGTGGACATGATCAGCCTTCATGTCACCAGCACAAATGGTGTCGAGATTGGCAAAACTTATATGAACTCTTCCATTCGACTGGAGCTAAAGATGCCCAAATTGGAAGGTAATCACAACTACTATTTTAGCTATTGTGTTCATTGTGAAAAGGATATCTGTCTACACCTATTGCTACCCCATAATCATCATGTGCAGTACAGGGAAAGACTTCCAGATGCAGGACTCAACAATTGTTTTCGTTCAAGTCCTTTAGTTGACATCATTTTCAACATGCCGCATTAATGGGATAAAGCATAACAAAACTGTATAAGAGTTGTATTCACAGTAGTTCTTTTAGGATGATGAAAGACGGGCAGTTGAATTTTCCCACAATCATACAAGTGGGGCTCATGTTAACCAAACTGAGACGACTATAGCGCATAAATTAGATAGACTGGAATATCAACCTATAAACGGAAAATATGTAATCTAGTCGATTGTTACAGAAAATAATAGCAAGGCAGACAATATATTTGGCAAAAAAGAGGCGGCTTGTAGGAGGCTATATCACTCTACAATCGGACAGAGTAAGGATTCATATATAATCTGTTGTTTTTAGTGACATTTGCTGGTGTATTTATCTTTAGAGTGGACTCTAATGAATGATTGGGATGAGTCGCGAACAGTTTGGACATACAGCAAAGAGTCTAGGTTTGGGCCAGCTAATCGAGCACACGGGTCATTGAGTAAGAACCGAGAATTTTAGCGATTCGTGACGAATCGCAGGCAAATTAGGGTGACTGCTGTTGGAATAAGTACTTCTTAGTGTAGAGTTGTTGGAAGATATTATATTTTTGGTAGAAAAAATAAATGAATAGGTTTGCTTTCACATGTGAATTAAGGAGGAAGGTGATTGTAATTGGAAATTAAAAGAGATAGTAATGTTGAAAGTGATGTTGATGGTGATAGAGAAAGAATTTGAGATAATGATGGTGAGAGTGTTATCAATAGTGATGGAGATATGATGGTGAAAATGATGATGATAGTGATAGTGATAGTAATGGTAATAGTGATGGTGATAGTAATGGTAATATTTATGGTGATAGTGATGGTGATAATGACGGTGATAGTGATAATGATAGTGATGGTGATATTAATGTTGACATTGATGTTGACATTGATGGTGATAGTGATGGTGATATTGATGTTGACATTGATGGTGATAGTGATGGTGATATTGATGGTGATATTGATGTTGACATTGATGTTGATATTGATGGTGATAGTAATGGTGATATTAATGGTTATATTGATGGTGATAGTGATAATGATAGTGATGGTGATATTGATGGTTATAGTGATGGTGATATTATAATGGTGATAGTGATGGTGATAGTGATGGTTATATTGATGGTAATAGTGATGTTGATAGTGATGGTGATATTGATGGTGATAGTGATGGTGAAAGTGATGGTGCTAGTGATGGTGATAGTGATGGTGATATTGATTGTGATAGTGATGGTGAAAGTGATGGTGATAGTGATGGTGATAGTGATGGTTATATTAATAGTTATATTGATGGTAATAGTGATGGTGATATTAATATTGACATTGATGGTAATAGTGATGATGATAGTGATGGTTATATTGATGGTACTAGTGATAGTGATAGTGATGGTGATAATGATGGTGATATTGATGGTGATAGTGATGGTGAAAGTGATGGTGATAGTGATAGTGATG